TTCTTTGCTTTTCTTTCTTCTGCCTTCCTCCCATTGGTAAAGCATATATCTACTCATCAAAGTTCACAGAGTGGTGGCAGGTACCTGTAATTCCAGCACTCTGGGTGGCTGAGGCAGCAGGATTCTTAAGTTTGAGACCAGTCTAGACAATTTAGCAGCTTAATGAGAACTTCCTCAAAATAAAAATAATGGGAGGGGGTGTAGCTCAGGACAAAAGCCCTGGGATCAATCTATAGTAACCAAACAAAAATAAATAAATAAAAACAAAAAACAAAAAAAAACAAGCAAGCAAGAAAAGTGTTCATACAAACTGACAAACACTTAAGATCCTAGTTCCTAAAGGGCAAATGACTTGGACAACTCTCAAAAAGTAAATAAAGAAACCTTATTACTATCTCCGCCTTAGCTGCTAAGCTTACATCAAAATTCTATTTCTATTAATAGCAAGTGTAATGGACATAAACCACGTATCACTTCCTTCTCGTACAGTGACTAACAGATGAAGATTCTGATGCCACACCTGAGAGCTATGGAAACAATCCAATGACCAGTTAGCTATTTCTGTCCTGGATCTTAGAAAGCACAGTGAAAACATGTGTACCATGTTTCTGCCACAGCAACTACTAGAAATCTATAATATGTATTTTATTTTTGTGATTTCATATTGTTTTCTATTTTACAAATTATTAACACAATGGGATGCACCATATTATTTTGGTGTTAATAAGGAGTGAAAAATAATGAAAATACTCAAGCTAGTGAGTTTTGGCAAAATGGACATTTCTTCTGACATACATTATTGGTAGTTTTTCTATAAAGCAACTCAGTAATACATATGAGTCTTGAATCACTTATACTCTTCAGCCCAGAAATTCAGTTTTATGTCTCATAAAAATGAAAATTCAAGCAGATGGAGGTTAATGCTGAGACGAGCCCTTAACATTCCTTTTTTCCCCCCTCACACTGGTATTTCTGTCTGTCTCTGGACCCCTTCCCCTATGGTAGAGCCTGCATTACTGATTTTTACATCTTTTTCTTTTTGTTTTATCTATACTCAATGCTATACATTCCCCTGCCAGTGCTGCTTTTACTACATACCACAAACTTGGTAGTTGGTAAGATGGATTTTCATTTAGTTCAAAATATTTTCTTAAAACTTGTCTGACTTGTGTGTGAAAGATTAGTTAACCTGCTAGTATTTAGAGATTTTCCAGCTCTTTATCATCTCAGTTTTAGTTTACTTCTGTTGTCATTGAGAGCCTGTATAACAATCTTTTTAAAATTTAAGTGTGATTTATAGCCCATATTGTAGACTACTCAAACAATGTTTTTAAAAAAACATTAATACTTTCAAACCAGCAGCACAGAGCTGGGGATTTAGCTCAGCGGCATGAGTGCCTGTCGTGCACAGTCGTGAGTTCAATCCCCAGTACCAATAAAAATAAAAAATAAAACATAAAAAAAGAAAACAAACCAGAAGCACTACCTTTGGATCAATTACAAGTACATACGTACTACACGAAGTAGAGAAGGTGAGCACAGCTATGTAATGTTAACAGTAATGTTTATTTAGGTTATGAGATAAAATTTCAGTAATTACATCATGAACAGACTTTAAAAGTACATCTTATTTTGAGATACAAGTAACTTCAATGTAGCTCTAATAATAACAAACACTGGACTTTTAATAAAAATAAAGAAAGACATATTTACTATGTGGACATATTCTATCTGAAATCAGAAATTAAAATAATTTGAATAGTTATTCTAAGCTAAGTCCTGGAAAAAGAAAATCTATGATATCTAAAGCCAGAAGTCAAATAGATTTGGATACTAACATATGTATCTTCCTACACAAAAAAACCTCGTGAAAAAGCACTAAATGGAAAGTACTAAATGGAAAGGATTCTTTATCTGAAAATTGAGTATTTTTCTATTTGGAATCACTTTATGTTTAAATATACACAGTGGTGGATCTTCATGAAGAAATACTATGCAGAATGAATGTTTTATTGGCATAGGAAGAGAAATTTACAAAATTCTTTATATGATATAGTTTCTATCATATTAAAAAAAAAAAAGTCCAGTGAAAAGGCTACAAAGAAATGTACCTAATGTGACCAGGATTGATAGCTGTTCTACAATTATAATATCACTTCCATATGCAAAGCTTTCAAACTTTTGTAATTTGTAGTTGGAAAAACATACTCTAGTGAATTTTAATACAAGTACTATAGTAGAGGTGCAAAAAAAGTTCAACATTAGAAGTAAAAATTATCAATTCTTTTGGGAAGTTTAGAAAGAGCCAATGCTTCAAATATCATCTAGTACAGCAACAGTTTACCAGGAAGAGGATATACTATATTTGCAACTGCCAGAAAGTGAAATCAAACGTGCATTGCATGAGGAGAATATAAAATGATTCCATATGACGAAAATACACGCTGCAAAATAGTGAGTGGAACAAGAGGAATGAATTCATACATTACATGTTGATGCCAGATGCTACACCACAAGTTTTTAGAATGCAAAAAAATCTAAATCTAAAAACAAAATCTAAATCTAGTCATGTTAGGCTAAGTCATTTACTGAATTTTAATACTAAGTAAATTCTGACATAGTAATTCTATTTGGATATAAAACCAAATTAAGTTTTCTACTTAAAGGCTCAATCAGAGAAAAGCATCTCTGACTATGGCAGAATAAAAAACTGGTAAATCTCATCCTCAAAAAACAATCAGACAAAACCATCAAAAACAACCATTCCAGCCCTTAAAGGCAAATAAGGTGAGAAATGTTTCTTTATGACAATCAGCTAAACACAGGTTAAGGACAGAGGGGACCTGTGGTTTCCCGCTGACTGGAGAGCCTTCCTCCAGCTCTCCTCTCGAATTCTGCTTAGTTGTATGCAAATTTTTCCTAGTTGGGGCTGGATGGGGGAAACAACTTCACAGCTAGGCTGGGCTGGGTTGGGGTGGGGGACTAACAGTGTGGAGCAAGGACAGAAAACCTACAAAGCATTTCAGTGAAAGTAAGAAACTTAGTAGAAAAAGCAGGGAGTGTCAGCACCCATGAGAGTTTAAAATGGCTATGGCACTCGTGGGTGGCTGAGATGCAGACTGAACTTCCAGGCAAAAACTAAAAAGATCCTCAAGCCTTTTTAAAACAAAAAACAACAGCATCTCACTTAAGTTTCTCAGGCTGGCCTTAAATTTGTGATCCTCATGCCTCAGTCTCCTAAATACCTGGGATCCATGCTGAGTGAGTGCAATCTTTGACCTGCTCTTTTTGACACTGAGTTATGCTGCGTGCAAATCCTACAAAACCAGTCGGAAAAATCAATAAAAAAAAATAAAAAAACAGAAAGTCAACATATATCAGCAAATACAAAGGAGACATATCCCACACCTTAAGTCCAGGTAAATTTCTAAAATTCTCCTGCTCCAAGTTCTTAGAAGAAAATGCAAAATGAGTGTTTCTATGCTGCATTATCAACATTGTCCGGTTTAACAGTAGATTATAGACATGCAAATAAAAACAGAAAAGCCTGACCCACGCTGAAGAAAAAAGAGCAGTAAATAGATTCTTCCTCTTAGTAAGCCTAAATGTTGGATTCAACAGACAAAAATTTCAAAGCAGTGATTCTAATGTTAAGCTGGGGACCACAGTCATTGCAAACAGTCCCAGTTACAAAGCTAAACTGGATGACTACTTGAGCCCAGGAAGTTCAAGGCTAGCCTGAGTAACACAGTAAGATGCCACTTTAACAAATAAATTAAAAAGATGTTTAAAGAATCAAAGGAAAATATGATAAAACTAACTGTAAAAATAATTTTAATAATGAAGAGACTATAAAAAAGAACCATATGAATTTCTGCAGCCAACTCATTTTTCATAGAAATATAACCAATTACTTATTTGGTCAACACGTCAAATAAATTTGTGCTATGAATATTTATTCAGTTGTTATGTTTTATGAACTTTGTAGTAACCTCTGAATAAAGATGCAGATGTCTTATCATTTCCTACTGAATTAATCAAAGATGTATTAATTTTGTATTTTTGGAGACTGGGTCTCTCCCTGTAATGCAGGCTAGCCTTGAACTTGCTTATGTAGTAAGGCTGTCATCCAACTCACAGCAATCTTACCTAAGCCCCTTAGGCGCTGGGTTTGCAGATACCTGTTAAGTCATTTTTAAAGGAATAGCTTATAACTAGATAATATCAACATAGCACAAAATCAAAGTAACAAGGAAATAAAATATTGATAACTAAAGTAAAACTAAGAATTCAATCTTATTTCCCGGTTAACAGTCAATATCTCTGAAGAACTTTATAGAATTCTCATTTTTCAGACAATTGATTAAATATTACTTGATATTTGGTACTTGAACAAAACTTCATTCAGGCATTAAAATGTAAAAATAATTTTAATACTACCTATAATAAATTGCATCATAATATTCATGTACTAATAAAATTTGTGCCTATTTAAATAAACTACTAGCAGGCAGATTTTCAGATCAACAATAATGATCATTACTATTATCTTTCATTTTCTTTTTTACTTGTAATTTCTTAGTAGGTATTTTAAACAGCTTACCTGCATTTTATTATTTTGATGCTTTGTATTATAAGCATTATAAAATATAATATTTCTCATTTTTAGTGAGGACAAAACAAGCTATACAGAACTACCAATTTTCCAAACATTCCTTAAAATTTTTTCCTAGTTTTCTACCTAATAGTACAAATTTTTGTTTCTCAGCCTAACATTACCAGAGGATAAAATAAACTGCCCACTATTTGGTATAAGCCATTATATCATTTTACATTAACATAGCTACCCAGGATAATACTCATTTTTTTCATTTTCATTTTTATCGGTACCAGGGATCGAACTCACAACTGCCTGCTTGCAAGGCAGGCGCTTATGCTGCTGAGCTAAATCCCCAGGCTCCCCCAAGATAATATTAATGAAGCAGAAAAAGTATACTTACTCAGTTATAAATTCAGGGTTTGTAAAATTGAGGTTGGTTAAATGGCCTTCAAGTTTAGAAGACTCATGCATGTTTAAGGCTGGAGTGGTCTTACTGGTGAGTACAGCTCTTTTTTCATCTTTTTCAAGTGCTTTTCTCTTTCCACCATTTTGGAAATATTCTCTACATACACTGAAAGTCAAAATAAAGTTATTTTTTAAAATACTGCACATGACTAAAATAAAATGAAAAAGCCTTTATTAATCAAGATAGGAAACTTTCAAGTTAAAGAATCCAATTTTTAAAATGTCAGAAGCAAGAATGAGCCACTTACAAGTACTTAAAATTGTTAACATTACTATGAAACGTAAGAGTGATAACCGAATATGCTTAACAAATAAACATGTTTTTTAGGTATACAGATGTACCTGATTATATTTAACTTAATTGTAACGAAAACATCAGTTCTCTAGCAAAGATTAGAGGACCAGGGATTTAGTGTTGCAGGTCAAGCACTTGCCTGTTATGCGCGAGATGGGGGAGTTGGCTCCCCCATAATAAACAAACAAACAAAATAAATAAATTGAAATGAATGCAAAGGTTAGATAACTGCTATTCCTGAAACAATACACTGGTAGTCAAGAGTTAATTTTTGACCCAGTTGTGCTGGTAGGAGGTAAGCTAATAGTTGTTTTGAGGTCCCTCTTGGTTTATAAAGCAAAGTCCAGTTCTCAATACATTAAAAGGTCATTTTTTCTTTATCTGCTTTAAGAGAAGGCATAAAAAAGACTAGTTCAGTTAAAAATGGTATTATACTGTGTTAGAAAAATGAATTGTTTTTCCTCTTCTCTCATACCACAACAACTAACATAAGAGACTTCAGTGACCTCAAGCAATGTGGGGATTTCTTCATACCAGCAGGAGAGCAATTAATTCTGGAGAGGACATCAGTTGGGTGTCCTCTAACACAATTCTTTTCTGACACTATTTACTGTGCAGAATATCAGATGCCATAGGTTGAAGGTTCAGCCACAAAGATGGAAGCAAACCTCACAAGATAAAGACTTAGTTCTCCCACACACTGAAGATGCCAATCAAACATCCCCAGGAGATTTGTGCTTTTGATTAACTGGCTATGAACAGGGTTTCCTGCAACCCCCTCCTCTGTTTTAATTTGCTCAAATATCTCATGAAATTCAGAGAGACTTACATTTTACTGTTTTATTATAAAGGAAATTACGAAGGACACAGATAGAGGAAGTGTAGGCCAAGTAAGCCACCCCTGCCAGGTCTATGTTTGCTCAAGAAACACCCTGACCCCTCCTTTTGAGATTTTTCAAGACTTCCTGCATATACACTGGTTGAAGCATGGACAACTGTGCGGAAATGTGACTACAGAAAAAAGACACGGTCTACTGCAAATGATCTGGGTGTGGAAAACCAGCAAGACCTGCACTGTTCTTGGCCTTTTGTATACAGCACCCTTCCCTCCACTTCATGGGGAATGATCCCGATCCTTTTGGACTGTGAATATTATGATCTACCAATAGACAAGGGTAGTTTAGAGAATTTCTTTTTGGCCAACTTTAAGAGAGAAAGGAGGGACAGTGATAATAGCTCAGCGGCTCAAGCGCCTGCCTGGCAAACACAAGTTTTTTGAGTTTGATTCCAGGAACCAAAATAAACAGAGAAAAAGGGTAAGATTACGTTTTAGTTTCTATGTACTGGTTGGAGAAGAGAAATTCTAGTTTGTACAGTCTGCTTTGAGAAGGGAGTTACTAGCCAGTAATGTTTTGATAAAAGCAAGTATCTCTCTTTCTCTCGTTTTTAAATCTCTATGCCACTATACATATAGTACTATGAAGGTGTAAGTTTAAAAAGAATAGAAATCTGAAATAACAGTGTTTTTTAATAACACTTTGGAATTATTAGATGCTGTTAGATGACCATTCCTATTTCTATCTACTTATCTGAAGAAACGGGATAATAATCTAGTTCAGGTAAAAATGTTATATCCCTGTGCTAAAAAAAACCAAACTGTTCCTTAATACAACTAAAATAAGGTTTTGAAGACACATCATTTTAAGTCCATATAATTAAGTCCATACTAAGTTGGTATCCAGAGTCAGAACTTGATGACTGGCACAGACTTATGTTCAACTTTCTCAGTAATTATGATATATTTAAGACAATTATAGGGCAAACATAGTAGGAAATATACCTACTTATATAATAACAGAAGTATGACAGAATAAGCTCAAATATTTATTAGCTATTGAAGCTAAGAAACTTAATGCAAAAATGACTACTGAGACTGAGCTCTGGTTCTTGTGTTTATAATCTCAAAAAATATACACCTGAGAACCACTAAATGATATACTTATCAAAGCTATTTAAAAAACTCGAAACAGATTTCTCCTTAGATTTTTCAAATAAACCACATTCTAGTAATGTACATAGTTTATATTTTACAACAAAGCTAGATTATTTTTCTCCACAGACACTGCTTGGTGAAGTTACAGAAACACAGGGCACAGAAAATAAGAACTGAAATCACTGAACTGGTTATAGAAAGCGGAAATATGATTTGAGGGAAACAATGTTCTCTTACACACACACAGGTGCTATTAGTTCAATTTCATGTTTCTTAGTTCCTATTATGTAAAATTTCCTTAACTCATCCCATGTAGATTTAGTTTTAATTATATATAAGTGAAATGCATTCACCATTAATCAAGTATTTATGAAGCAACTATTCAGGTGTGGAAGAACATAGACAATGGCAAAGCAACCTTCAAAAAGCTCTAGCTTGTGAAAGGCAGAGGTTATATAAATGAAGAAAATCCAATTAAAAGAAAAACCCCAAAGATAACATGTGTTGTATTTATTCATAAATGAAGTATCTAACCCATTCTAAAATCAATTTGATTGATTGTCTTGACTCAGACAAGGAAGAATGTTCAGTAAGAATGAAATTGCTTTCTAGGCAGAGAGGATACCATAAACAAAGGTATGGAAGCAGAAATTTCAGAACGGATACTGCAGAAATGTACCTCAGTTTAAGGCATGTGACATTTAAACCACCAGGTAGAAAAGAAATGGCTGAGTCCTGCATATGAAAAAGCCTTGAGACTAGCATATATATTAACAAGGAATGGTAGCCAAATAACAATGGCAAGGGCAACAAGCTTTAGATCATGCAAAAGTCACAGGTCAACCTATAAATGTGGCCTTTACAAATTTATTCTCATTTGACAATGCAGTTTAGCAGTTACGTGAGAGATGAGGTTGTAGGCTTGACTGGCAAGAAAGCTTTATGGGGTAACAGAAGTGTTATAGATCTTAATAGTGGTAACTGCTACATATACACAAACAACTAAAAATAATCCACTGAATTATACACTAAATGGCTACCTTTCATTGTATATTATATCTTGATAAAGTTAACAAAAATATATTTTTATCAACTTGGAATTATACCTCTATCATATAGCATTTCACTAAAGCATGAAACACAAGAGTAAAAAGCTTGCTTATTTTTCCGTTAGTTACAACTTGATGAAGCTGCAGATCTTCAACAGTTCTGGAACCAGGTATGTTGTAATTTTAGGTAGTTCAACCTGATAACTACCAATATACTCAGCAGTAAAACAGATGAAGGTTTAGAATTTCCAGTTTCAGAGAATAGCAGTCATCTTTTTTTTTTTTTAACTTTTTTTTTTTTTTTTTAATCGGTACCGGGGATCAAACTCATGACCGCCTGCTTGCAAGGCAGGTTCTTATGCTGCTGAGCTAAATTCCCAGCCCCAATAGCAGTCATCTTAATTCAAATCTCATCACATACCCTTTGAAAACATACAGATCATTGATGAGAGCAAATAAAAGCACTACTGTTATGCCTATGTCATATGTAGAAGTCAGAGACTAATATTGCATTTTACATGAAATCAGGAAAATAAAATCTCAGGGCAACTGGATAGGCTTTTGAACAAACTCAAAGTAGAGTTAGACGAGGGCTGGGTAAAACAGAGAAAAACATGATGCAGGTGGCAAAATCAGATAACACCAAAGGAGGCTCATGCCCAAGACATGGTCTGACTCTTAGTGATAAATTCTAAGGAAAGATTTGGGACTTACTAAATTGAAGCATTTGTCATGGAAGTTCAAAGTAAAACAATCTGGAGTTACCAAAGGCGAGTCTTGAGAAAACTGCTTTGAAAAGCAAAGTATATGTGGGGGGAAAGAATCAAGCAATTAAGAATCCCACTGAGAGATATTTGTATAAAATAAGGCCAAACAAAATTATTTGTTAAATGCACTGAGAGCAATCAAATAGGTTTTTGGAAATTATAAAACAAAGTAAAGCATCCAAAGCCACACCAACGAACCTAGAAAAACTCCAGTTAGTGAGACTAACAATACGTTACAGAAAATACCTAAAAGAAATACCTGATAAGCCAAGCACAACCACTCTTCAAAATGAAAATCTCAGTCTCTCCCAACCTCAAATACAATCATAAACAAGAATGAGACTAGATTGTAACAGCTAAATATTAATTACATAAGAATAAGTAATATAGATATTAAGAACATTTCAAATTTGAAATCAGATACAAAGAAGAACCAAATAAATGGAAGACATTTCATGTTCACAATTCCAATGAAAATTCCAACAAGTTATTTTGTGGACAAAAAATCTGTAATTTATATGGTGTATTTGTCAGGATTCTTCAGAGAAACATTGCAGATACTGATAGAGTTCTCTTGATAGGTAAGTATATATAAGTTGATGTATTTGTGAATCCAGGGGAGAAATATTGAATACATATAGGTAGTAGAAAAAGGGTTATTGTAAGGAATTAGCTCCTGCAATTACGGAACCTGAGATGGCCCATAATCTGCTGTCTGTAAGTTGGAGAAGCAGGAATAGCTGGCAGTGTAGCCAACTATAGATGTTCTAGCCCAAGTCTGAAGGTCTAAGAACTAGGAATGCCCAATCTGAGGGCGAAAGAAGACTAAGGATATCTCATTTCAAACAGGCAGATAGAGAGATGGAAAGAACTGTGACGGAGACAAGATCCTTGCTTCATATTTTTCTTTTATTCAGAGTTTCAACGGATAGGACACTGAAAGTTCACCTTGGGCAGAGCCATCTGCTTTACTTAGTCTACTAATTCAAATGTTAACCTCAT